AGGACTTGACCTGGAACGCGTTTTTTGACCTGATAGGTCAAGTCGTTAATTAACCAATCAAAATGCTGGATGATGCCAACGTGATCAAATTACCATAGCTCATTTAAATAATGTATGAACGCAATGCGGAAGTGATTTGCCGATGTTTGCGATATTTTGGCTTTGATTTTGGTGGGAAAAACGGCATGATTTTTTTTTCAAATCAAGAAATTAGTTATTTTTGGAAAGTAAACTGAGCATTTAAAGAATAATTTAACACTGTTTACTGTGACAACAGCGCATTTGAAACAGAACATTTTCGCGTTGTTTTAATTTCGTTTTTATGGACTTACTGCGAAATTAAAAACCACGCTGATATTTTCTACAGTAGATTAAAAAGACATGTTTCAAGAGATTATAGACCGATTTCTTAAAAATTGTTAGAAACAAAACCATTTTTTTTTACATAAAAGCCATTCGTACAGTAACAGCGAGGGACTTCCGCGATCGCGTCCATCGCTACGAACCGGTAACCGGTAGTCGATCCGCCGGCGCCCAATTCACGATCATTACGTGACAAAATTTCAACTTTGTCTGGCGCTTAATTGAGGTGTAAAATACAAAGTTTTTGTGGCACTGGCGCCTAATTGAAGGTGGCGCTTAACTGAAGACAAATACGGTATATACAATATCAAAGCCACTGAATTTGCAGTTTAAAATGATGAATTTTCATTGGTGAACTGAAGATATCATCACGAAATCTAATGAAAGTTTGAACAAATGTAATAGAGGTACGCAGAAGACACAAGAATACCAGCTATCAAATTAATTGAAGAACAAGCAAATAGTTGACTCAAACCACAACAGACAGTCATTAATATGATTAAATCCACTCAACGAAGTCAACAACAGAGCCAAAAATCTCAAAAGAGAATGTAGAAAATTGCAAAAACTCTATTGTAACATACACTTCATATTAATAGGATACATGTATGAGCTATTTTTTCTTGGACAATATTTTTATATGCTAAATTTATAATTACCATCTTCCATTAATAACTTCTGAAGTAATCGATTCTTTTTGAATTTCCCCCCTTGAGCTGAGTCCTGTGATGGCCTCTTTAATGAGCTGGTGCTTGCCGGTTTCTCAACTCTTCCTTGCACAGAGTCAGGTGATACAAGTCCACTTGTACTGGCACTGACTGGTGACTGACTGCTACAACAGAGTGGACTAGAAGTCTTGTAGGATGTTTCAGATCTTGAATAACTACTGCCAGGCACTGGGGGCCGCATAACATCGCTACTCGTGTTGATACGCGTAGTTGGCAACTTGGTTTGTAAATGGGACATGTATGGTTTCAAATTGGTAGATTTCAGTAGAGAAGACAGAGAAGAGTTCTGCAGCATTTCAATTGGTGAGTTGGACGACGCAGACGCAGAATTTCCTGAACGTAATAAATTGCTGAGTGATGGCAGCGGTCCTGAATGATCACTTTTGGGTGTTGAAGGAATACTTGAGACTTGGTTTGTTGAGGCACTGGTACTGGCATCAGTAGATGGAGTATTAGGCGTTTCCCTGTCAAAGAAGAAAAAAAGTTTCAACAAAATAGACGCAGGCATACTGAAGAAATGGTAAATGACATAGTGCTTTTTGGGACAAAATTTACAATTGTTCGGTCAAATATCAACCCAAAACAACTCCTCATTTCAGACTTACATATATTCTGCATTATGAAATAAGTGTCATAAGCATGTTAACTTTTGTCACATGAAGACATGTGTAGTATTTACTCAGTTTTAAGCGTTAAAGGAAAATCAAGCAAATTGTTATTGACGCTTCACCTGTATATACTATGAGTTGACATGATAAACTCTGGCTGTCCATTTCTAAGGAATAACTTGCTTCTTGTTTGCACAAACAACCAGCAGTGATCGGTGGCACGGAACTTGTACATCGCTGTGGTACATGTGTCAGTAATGTTACTCAAAACTGAAGATACAAAAAAAGCATATTTACATTGCACAATATTCCAATGTATGGTTTCATAATATGCATACAGAGTATGGGGCCTTGAAAAAACAGTTTTATATTATGCATACAGTGTATGTGGCCTGATAAAAAGGTTTTCTATTATGCATACAGAGTATGGGGCCTAAGAAAAAGGTTTTATATTAAGCATTTAGAGCATGGGGCCTAGAAAAAGGGTTTTGTATAATGCATACAGAGGATAGGGCCTAAGAAAATGGTTTTATATTATGCATACAGAGGATAGGGCCTAAGAAATGGTTTTATATTATGCATACAGAGGATAGGGCCTAAGAAATGGGTTTTATATTATACATACAGAGGACAGGGCCTAAGAAATGGGTTTTATATTATACATACAGAGGATAGGGCCTAAGAAATGGGTTTTATATTATACATATAGAGGATAGGGCCTGAAAGAAGGGTTTTATCCTACCTTCTTGATGATGTTTGATGAGCTGCTGCATATCTGAAGAGTGGCAGTATTCTTGTAATGAATGTCCAACCAAATCAGATTTGGAATGGAACGGCAATGTCAGTGAGGAGATATCTGCAGATATGATTTTCCCACTCAAGTCCTGCTTTGTTACAAACTGTTCTATAAGTGACCTGTCTTCTTGCGGCATTCTTCGGGCTACACATACCAAGTAAGCTGGTCCATCAACTGGAAGACATAAAGTTTATGCATATGCTACAAGTTATATCACAAGTCAGTTTGATTTATTAAAGCTGCAAAATGTGATACCACGTGATTGTCGAACAATAAAAAACCTTTTAATCATCAGTACAGTCAAACCTTTGTATAGTGACCACCGGATTGTCAAACAATAACAAACCTTTTAATCATAGTACAGTCAAACCTGTGTATAGTGACCACCGGATTGTCAAACAATAACAAACCTTTTAATCATAGTACAGTCAAACCTGTGTATAGTGACCACCGGATTGTCAAATAATAACAAACCTTTTAATCATAGTACAGTCAAACCTGTGTATAGTGACCACCAGATTGTCAAACAATAACAAACCTTTTAATCATAGTACAGTCAAACCTGTGTATAGTGACCACCGGATTGTCAAATAATAACAAACCTTTTAATCATAGTACAGTCAAACCTGTGTATAGTGACCACCTGATTGTCAAATAATTACAAACCTTTTAATCATAGTACAGTCAAACCTGTGTATAGTGACCACCTGATTGTCAAATAATTACAAACCTTTTAATCATAGTACAGTCAAACCTATGTATAGTGACCACCTGATTGTCAAATAACAAACCTTTTAATCATAGTACAGTCAAACCTGTGTATAGTGACCACCTGATTGTCAAATAATTACAAACCTTTTAATCATAGTACAGTCAAACCTGTGTATAGTGACCACCTGATTGTCAAATAATTACAAACCTTTTAATCATAGTACAGTCAAACCTATGTATAGTGACCACCTGATTGTCAAATAACAAACCTTTTAATCATAGTACAGTCAAACCTGTGTATAGTGACCACCTGATTGTCAAACAATAACAAACCTTTTAATCATAGTACAGTCAAACCTGTGTATAGTGACCACCAGATTGCCAAACAATAAACCTTTTAATCATAGTACAGTCAAATCTGTGTATAGTGACCACCAGATTGCCAAACAATAACAAACCTTTTAATCACAGTAGTCAAACCTGTGTATAGTGACCACCGGATTGTCAAACAATAACAAACCTTTTAATTATAGTACAGTCAAACCTGTGTATAGTGACCACCAGATTGCCAAACAATAAACCTTTTAATCATAGTACAGTCAAATCTGTGTATAGTGACCACCAGATTGCCAAACAATAACAAACCTTTTAATCATAGTACAGTCAAACCTGTGTATAGTGACCACCGGATTGTCAAACAATAACAAACCTTTTAATTATAGTACAGTCAAACCTGTGTATAGTGACCACCAGATTGCCAAACAATAAACCTTTTAATCATAGTACAGTCAAACCTGTGTATAGTGACCACCGGATTGTCAAACAATAATAAACCTTTTAATCATAGTACAGTCAAACCTATGTATAGTGACCACCGGATTGTCAAATAATAAACCTTTTAATCATAGTACAGTCAAACCTGTGTATAGTGACCACCGGATTGTCAAACAATAACAAACCTTTTAATCACAGTAGTCAAACCTTTGTATAGTGACCACCGGATTGTCAAACAATAACAAACCTTTTAAGCATAGTACAGTCAAACCTGTGTATAGTGACCACCGGATTGTGAAACAATAACAAACCTTTTAATCACAGTAGTCAAACCTTTGTATAGTGACCACCGGATTGTCAAACAATAACAAACCTTTTAATCATAGTAGTCAAACCTATGTATAGTGACCACCGGATTGTCAAATAATAAACCTTTTAATCATAGTACAGTCAAACCTGTGTATAGTGACCACCGGATTGTCAAACAATAATAAACCTTTTAATCAGAGTAGTCAAACCTTTGTATAGTGACCAGCGGATTGTCAAACAATAACAAACCTTTTAATCATAGTACAGACAAATCTGTGTATAGTGACCACCAGACTGCCAAACAATAAACCTTTATAGACAGATGGTCTTTATATGGAGGTTGGGATATTTTTTATGCATCACCTACTCATACATTTGTATATATATATATATATAATGAGATGGTACTACTGCAACAACAACAACAACAACAAATTTATTTAAGTTGAATCAAAATAATATAAAGTTAGACTTGTGGAAATTAAATATTGTTTAATAAGAATGCTAATTATTAATTTGGTCAAGGGTGAATTGGCAAAAATATTAAGAAAAGAATGGTTACATAAGACAGGTGGTCTTTTATACGGAGGTTGTTTATACATTATGTCTTGGGAGATCCTAAAAGTGGTCACTATATAAACAGGTGCTCCTTAAAACACAGGTTTGATTGTACTTAACGTTACTCATTTGGTCATACTACGAGACTGTACAGGAGCGGGTATCATGCGCGTTTTCAACTTTGTTCACTGTACTGTGTACGCCAAGATTGTGTGCTCACGCACATGTTCAAAGAATTGTGAATTTACGATTTTATTAACAAGCAGCCTCTCGGCTGAGATTAAAGCATTGAAAATATCATCACAAAATGTACAAATCTGAGCACGGACATTGACTCATACGATAAGCTCCGCTCGATAATAGAGCTGAAAATACAGTCGGAGATTCACACCTGCAGTGCAAGTAGGATGGGTTTAATTGAATTGGTTGCCCACCTACCTACAGATGCTTAAGCTGCACAATTATCAAAACGCAAGAGTATTTTTTATGCTAATTATATGCAAATGATAACAACAGCATACACTGATGGATGGTCAATACCTTAATTAGGTTTTAATTCTAGGGAAGCTAGCATCGCTTGACTTACCACTTGCTGAACCATCAGCATTAGGTTGTTTGTCATCTGGATGTGGTTGGAGAACTGCTGAACATTGCATGTGTTCTAATTTTGACTCTTGCGAACCACCATCATCACCATGCTCATCTTGGCTTCCTATGTACATTCGACAGTTAAAAGTACGACTCTTGGACAATTTGTTGGGATTCTCACTTGGCCATACAATCCCATTAGCTGCCATGTATAGAACAAAAATCATTCAATCAACACAGACAATCTTACACCAATGCATTTCAATTAAAATGTTATTTACATTATTTATTTACATTGGATGTAATATCTCTATCATCAATATGATGGTACTATTCAAATCAGATGCAACCTTTTATACTGCAATTGGTTTCACCACTAAAAGATATGTAAATAACCATATAAATATGCTAATGATATTTAAATTAGATGCAACCCATTCTAATTGTGATTGGTGCAGCCACTGAAAGATATGCAAACAATCCTATCAGTATGCTAATACTATTCAAATTAGAGGCAACCTTTTTTTTATTGAAATTGGTGTCACCACTGAAAGATATGCAAATTGTCTTTCTATATGCTAATGTTATTCAATAAGATGTAACCTGTTTCTATTGTGATTGGTGTGACCACTGAAAGATATGCAAATTGCCTTATCTATATGCTAATGTTATTCAAATTAGATGTAACCTGTTTCTATTGTGATTGGTGTGACCACTCAAAGATATGCAAATTGCCTTATCTATATGCTAATGTTATTCAAATTAGATGTAACCTGTTTCTATTGTGATTGGTGTCACCACTGAAAGATATGCAAATTGCCTTATCTATATGCTAATGTTATTCAAATTAGATGTAACCTGTTTCTATTGTGATTGGTGTCACCACTGAAAGATATGCAAATTGCCTTATCAATATGCTAATGTTATTCAATAAGATGCAACCTGTTTCTATTGCGATTTGTGTCACCACTGAAAGATATGCAAATAACGCTAACAATATGCTATTACTGATCAAATCAGATGCAACCCATTCCAATTGTGATTGGTGCAGCCACTGAAAGATATGCAAATAACCCTATATATCAGTATGAGAAGAAGTAGTGAAGGCATGAAAACTGGAAAGGCTGCTGGACCCTCGGAAGTGAGCGCGGAGATGATTTTTGCAAGTGGAGACACAGGGATTGGTGTGATAATGGAGTTATGTCAGAGAGTGTTAGATGGAAGAGGAATGCCTGAGGAGTGGGAGGTGAGTGTGGTAGTACCAATTTTTAAAGGAAAAGGGGATGCAAAGAGTTGTGGTGCATATAGGGGTGTAAAACTATTAGAGCATGCAATGAAAATTGTGGAGAGGGTGATAGTGAATAGAATCCGGAAATTAGTGGAAGTGGATGAGATGCAGTTTGGTTT